GAAGACACAGATCTGTTTGTTAAAGGGGATTATATGATGGCTCCTTCCTATCAGCTTCCATCCAGGCAGCTTTTTAACTCACCTATTTTATTACATGATGTCTCTCAAATTTGCTGGCACAGTKTATATTTCTATCTACCCTGCATGTAAACAAAATGATTATATCCAATGTTACTAAAAATAAGCATATGAAACATCATTAGAAGCCAGAAACTAGGTGGAATTACATCTTATAAGATATTCTTTAAAATAAAATATTTCTAAGAACATTAATTAGCCAATAAATATTGAACAAGGGGATACCAATAACCACAGTTTGCATGTACATATAAATACTTGTCACAAAGTCTTAGTAAATTTCTAAGCTTTAAGAAACTCTACAGTATAACACCACAAAATTATAAAAACATCACTTGAAAGCAATCCTTAGAGAGATTTTTTCATACTTTTTTTAAGTTTGAGGAACAAATTTTTTAGTTCTTGTTTCTGTCACTGTGCAGATGGTTAATTTTGACTGAAATTTTAAAACTAAATAAAACAATTATTATTCAAAATGCAAAATAAATGGAAATAAGTTTTCAAATGAAGTCACTTTTGCATTTATAAGCATTTATACTTCTGGAGTTATGGAAGTCTTAAAACTTCACTGTCTTTGGGGACACCATGTTATTAAATGTTATTTTACATGTCTTTTTCTCCATTGTTTTGTTTTCATGGAAGGAAAAYATTTATTTTTCAGTTTTGAATGTAGCACATCCCAGCAGATATATTTTATAGTTACCAATTAAAAGATGGTGTTCAGCAACTACCCTGCATAATAAACCAACTTTGTCTCCTACCACACATCAAAGTGTAATTCTTTGAAATTCCTCAGATGTACTCATCATCAGACTGTAACCCTGAGGCTTCATTGAATTTGTTTATGATTTGTGTATTATTATTGCTTAGGGCCCAGCTTAAAATTTCGATAAAGTAAGAAAATGAGAGATTTCTTCCATTAAGAGTATTGCAAAATAGAGATCAAAGGCATAATAATTTTACTCCACAATCTGTACGATCTAACTTGGTTTATGATTAAAGAATGATTTTAATTCTCAAACTTTTAAACTTTATTAAATGTTTTGGTAATGCATTGAATAAATTCCAGACCTACATAAATACACAGGCAGCTGTTTGTAATTTGCATTTTTATCAGTTTTGAAAGAGCACAATGTACTTCCTGCATCTTATTTTCAGAATTTGCATTTTATCATCTTTGGCTATCCAGTATATAGTATGGAGTACTTGAATATCTCATTCTTTGAATTTTCATTGTTGATTGTAAATCAGATGATGGCTGGCACTTATCTCTTTTCTCATTTTTCTCTTCTCTCAACCTCCAAGTTTACTTGCTACCATTTCTTCTTGGCTCTAATAATAGAACACACAAAATATTTTATTTTCTTTTCCAGCCTTTTTCAGGACTTCAATAATCATATTTCCTTTCCTAATTACTTACCATAAAATCTAAAGGCAAAAAAAATTAAGCTTTTGCTTCTACTCATAAATTTTCAAAATGTCATTCAAACTTCATCAACTSCTTTTCAGTGCTTACTGAGTATTGAATTTAGAGGGAGGAGGAATGGAATGGAGATAATACTATATATAAGTCTGCACTCTGAGATATTCACAATGAACAGAATGAACATTCCATCATATAGAGACAGGCACTGCCATTCACGTCAGCTCGATCCCTATCAGAAAGGATATGTGGCCTTGAGGGAAAGCTGGCAATGAGAATGATGTCTCTAGTTGCCTTCAGCTCCTGGCCCTGATTCCCACAGACACTCAACAATTTCCTCTCCTTCTGCATTGTCCTCATAGAATCCAACAGCATTTTCCCAAAAGGCTCCTCTCACCCATTTACACTTCTCTGGCCTTGGCTGCCAGAGCCTTAGATGAACAGACTGGTGGCAGCTTGTGTTTTCTGCCTCCTTCCCTCTAGCAGTCCATCTGTCCCCTGGGAAATATTGAAATTGCTGTTCTGTGCCCTAGCAAGAACATATGGGGGAAAAAACACAAGCTAATCTTTCTCTTCATATTTTTTCAATGACAACAATTGGAAAAGATGAGTTCTGGAGTTACCTATTTCCCAATCAAAAGCAAATAAGAAAACAAAATTTATTTTATGATAGATTGTTAACTTTATAAACTAATTTATGACATCCATTTAATTTCTAGAARCTTAAGTCCGTGCATTCTTACTGATGTGGAAAATGTATCCAGCTCTTTTCACAAAAATTTAGTCCAACCCAAGTGATTTCTTAATCACTTCATTTTCATATTAAGTCACACATTTAAAATTTTTCTCAGGGGTTTCCTCCCTACCCCACCTCTTTGTTGTTGATACTAATTTCTGGTATTGGGACAAAGGGAAATGTCTGCTGCTCTGTGACAGCTAGGAAGAGAATATAATTTCAATAGGCTTGACTTGCCTGGGTCTTAAATGGAGGTTCCTCAAACTTTAATGTGTACCTAATCAACTGGAGATGTTGTTAACATGCAAATTCTGACAAAACAGGTCTAATATGGAGATTCCACATTTCTAGAAAGCTCCCAGGTGATATCATTACAGTGGGTCCTCAGACCATACTTTAATTAACAAGGTGGTGATGCTGGGCTTGGTTTCTACTGATCTCTCTGGCAAAGACCATCAATTGAGATTATAGCTGCGTACCAACCCCCAACTCCAATTGTACTCAACAATAAGAACATCTTTCTGATTCTTCCCCCAATTCTTGTATGATTCATGTTTATCTGAGATGGGTAAGGAGAAAGCAATTGGGATACAAGAGTATTCATTGGTCAGGGAGACTACATCCTTTAATATTCCAAATATCTCCCACGCAGAAGGAAACCATAGGAGAAAATGCTGTATCTCAACAATTGCTAATTTCACTCAAGATGAGAAAATGCTGTATCTCAACAATTACTAATTTCACTCAAGATATTCATCTTTATCTCCTTCCCCACCCCAAATTAAATGCCATCATCACTTGAAAAACAAAGCTAAAAGAAAATATAGTCACTTAAATAGCCCTGCAACAGAGTTATTTTACAGAACATTATAATTTGGGAAAAGATAGGCAGGAAATAAAGACAGTTGTTTCCAGTGTATAATATATACATAGGTCTAAGAACTGAGTCACAGTTGCAGTCAAAAAAGTTTTCAAGAACTTACAGTTCAGTTATCACTTTGGGAAAGGGAAAATGTGTATTCTGGATGTGTTCTGGTTCCTTCCAGGAAGCACTAATAAAAGAGCTTATAGATTTCAGACTATTTTGAAAATTCTGGGATACTTGTATAGATAAGAGAGCTCCATGTCTGAAAATTTTTTTGAAAGATTCAGTTGTCTGAGAAGCAATTAAATTTTATTCTGTGTAGTTTTCCAAATCTACTGCCCACTCCCTTTCAAGCTAGGAAAAGACAGAAAGCTATTTAACAAAAGATCAACCTCAAGTCAGGACTCCTACAATCCTCTGCCCTGAGGAGGTTCCTGGGATCCCCAATTCCCTCCTATAGCACAAAGTACTACCAGGTGGAAAGCTCAGTTACTTGGTACCTTCTGGCTGAGAAAATTCATCTTGGATGCCCTGTCATCCAAATCAGTCTATATTTGTCTATGGTAGATATATAGCAAGGCTTTGCCTCTTATTTGTGCCACAATATGGTTTAATATGTTTGTCTTGTAGTGTAGCAAAGGATACATCTAAACATTGTATACAACTGCTGCACCTACTATTCCTGTTGATAAGGAAAATAATTACATCAAAAGTTTTTCTGATAACAGGCAAAGAGACGGTGGGAATGTAGCTCAGTGGTAGAGTGATTTCCTAAGCATGCATGAGGTCCTGAGTTAAAAAAAATTGGCAAAGAGGAACACAATAAAACAAGGTAAAATTAAATTGCTAATAGACAAGAGAACTTCAAAACTCCAAGTAACTAAGTGTGCATATATATCTTGAAAGTTGTATTCATTTAAATTTTTCTCTAAAATATTTCTTGAACTTAAAAAACTTGTCATTCATTTTCAGAATCACATGATACCTTAAAGTAAATATTTACCTGGATATATTTTTTCAGTTTTTGAATAAGGTTTTGAAAAAGGAATTCGTTTTCGCCAGGCTGAACCATTATATGAAGTTGACATATATTTGTCTGAAAAAATAAAAGAAGACTGCTACTAAATATTCTCTAACTTTAAAATCATATTCCAAGGGTGTTTCRAAATTACAAACATCTCAATGGTGAAGCTATTCTCCGAATATTTCATTTTACCATTTTGAAGCTATGGCATCAGGGATATAAATGAGACCACTGAAGCTATCACTGATCATGGTTATGGATCTCTTAATTGACTATCCCATTCCTCAAATAAGGTTCTCTCCCATGAGGCAAGCTGGAGAAGAAGGTGATGTCTGGATACAACCAAAATATTTCACTGCCTTGCTTTATTGTAATTTAACATAAAATCTTGCTACTTTTGTAGAGCTTTATTTTTTTTAAATGCGGTACAGCCCAAGTCATGTTTCCTTCCATGAACTGATTTCCAACACTTATATTTGTGTTTGCATGTGTTACTATGAAGCTGTGGTTCTCAAAGCATGGTTGGTAACAATAAAAAAAATTTGCTTTTTCCCCTTGTCGACATTTGCATTAATGATGTAAAACCAAAAACATCATTGAGTATAATTACTGGCACCTTCACAAAAATCTAGATCCTAGCAACAAACTGTTCTATTACTTGTATTCTTTTCAGCCACCCACTTAGAGTAAAGTAGTAATAAAATAATTTTATATTATTTTTAATATATTATTTATTATTTTATTATTATTATTATAAAGAAAACTAAGGGGCAGTTTCACCTAAGAACTGACATCTATATGTCAGTTTATTCTAAAAATGAATAGAAAAATACTTTAAAGCTAGCTTCTTATTTAAGTTGTTGAAGAATCTAAGAGTCTAAGATTTTCGAAAGTATATAACATTTGAAACTTCACCAACGACACTGTGAACATGGAAAGACAGAAACATGAAATTAAAGAATKTTAAGTGGCATTTTTTGTTAGATTGAGATAAATGAAACCCAACTTCAAAACAGCAAAATTCCTCTGAGACAGATTTGGTTCTCTATCCCCTGTGGCCTTGTTCTTCCTGACATACACTATGACTTTGCCTATTACATGATGAAATGATTTAGAAGCAATCTGTGCATGGTGGGAGAGATGAGAGGTTGTCAACAATATTGCAGTTAACCCCCAAAGTAACCCTTTCAGAAAGTAATCATGAAGGCCTAAAGAATAGCCTGACAGTGATAACTGAACAATGCAGTTAGTGGAACAAGAAAATGTCAACCATTAAAAAACAATCCCCCCTGGTGAAATGAAGCTGTCCGGGGGGAACAAAGTACAGTGTTCTGAGGCATAACTCCAGGGAGGTACCATGTCAAGTCATCTGCACCCAAMGTGAGTTTTCTTCCATAGCCTTTAAATCATGTGCATCACTGCACAGGGAAGAAATCCTCCCTCTCCTTCACATGTTATGATGACAACCCAGAAAAAGAAGAGGGGGATGGGGTATAGTAGTGAGGATTAGCCAATCCATCAGGAAATTCCATGGGAATGCAATCACAGACACAGTAAACCACATCAGTCAAGAGCCTCACCTGAACAGAGGTTGAGTTTGGGTTCCTTGTTAACATCAGSTTTATGGTAGGATCCATTCGGGGGTCTGCTGCGGGGCGGTGCATTCAGTGGGACAGTCCTGACAGCATCTCTTTGCACGTGGATATAAGCTGAATTCTCAGCATTTCGGTTTTTATTATTATGATGGTAACTCATTTTATTTTTGGGATTTGGGACCTGTACAGCTATAAAACAAAAGTGAGGGATAAAACTGGCTTCACATCCATAAAAAGTATATTGTACTTTTAGTATTTGATAGTATAATGGAAGGCAACATAAGCTAAAAGAATTAAGTTTAGAGGAGTTAGGTTGATGTCTAACATTTATGGTACATGACAGTAAGCTGTTTTCCACAAAGAACATATTTGATATCTAACCACTTTTTAAATGACAATTTACAAACATGAAATATATTGACCCTTTACCTCTCYGCATTCCAGAGCCAGGAAAGTTCTTTGGTTCATCATAAATCCATTTTCTTTTTTTCACACCTTTAAAATGAGGCTTCCTCACTGGCTGGACATCATTCACTTAGAGAAGATACAAATTTTTACAGTTTTTAAAGAGATTGTTTCATGTGAAAGTCACTGTAGGTGTTAATTAGATATCTGTGCAGTCAAAAACCAAGCAAGAAAAAAAAATGGACCACCCCAATACTTTACTTTTTAAAACAAAGGGTGATATTTACTGTTAAGTGACACAAAACAAACTATCTTGTAAATGGATGACAAAATCCTCAACAAGCAGCTTTCCTTAAAAAAAAAGCTTCCTTCCTAAGGCCYGTGTGGATTCTTTTAAAAGAACATAAAAATGCATCCCAAATATAACTATAAATTTCATTTTTATAGTGCTATTTTTAAGTAATTTTTCCAACATAAATCTTTTTGTATTCTTTTAGTCCAAAAGCCTTTTAAAGCCTTAAGAAGTTGAGTATACAAGGGATTTGGTCAAACTACTGAAAAATCAGAATTTGTAATACTAAATTCATAAATTTTTCACTTTTTACTTGCATCTTTTTACATCAAAGTTTTATATGAGTTTTTAATTTTTCAGGAATTTCTAAGTTAAATATTTCCAGGGAAGCTTACAATCATTTTGTAGATGGAGACATTCTGTTATTCACAAGTGTCTACTGAGCAAAGGAAATGAATATCAATCACACTGTGTAGATTACACTTGCTCTCTACAGTAGACTGATAAACCTGTCTTTGCCCTAGCTCTCGACCTCAGTTTAAGTTTTAAGCCCTCAATGAAGCTCTGATTTACTGCCTCCTCCTCAATATCATGTCCTGCCTCTGTTTCCAAGCTCTCAGGCCTGGGAGTTAGAAATTGTATTTTTAACAAGTGCCACTACACCAAACATGGTTTCCTAGGAAAAGGCATAATTGTTCCCCTTCAGTGTCTCACTGGAAACCAAAATTATTTTAGGGGTTCAAGAAATGAAATAAGGGCCAGAAGGAAACAAGAAAGGAATCAGGAAGATTCACAAGTCTTAATGTATAAAGAGAAATAGTTCAGAGTATTGAATAGCAAGAATAAACAAAATCAGGAAAAACAATCCAAAACCCAATGTATTGCCAATATATTTCCCTACATGGAAAATTGTAAATGTTATATACTACTGAATCTTCTGAAAGTAGTATGTTATTATTTTAACGTCTATATTAAACTAGTGGGAAAGCATAAAATTTACTAGGACCTACTTCACGATTCATTGTTAGAATTAATACAGGAATACTTTGTCCTTAATTCTCAGTCCTGAATAATTTTCAAACCATCTCTTTTTTTTCTTTTTAAAATTCTATTTCAAATAAGCAAAACAAATCCACACTAAGACACATATATTTAAGGCCTAAAAGTGATAGAGCTAATGTCTCACTTGAAGAGGGGTCCTCTCTGCACTTCATACTGATATTCTCAGTAGCATTTAATACATGCGTTGTAGGTACTAGTCGGGTAGTTAGGGAACGCTTTGGATGAGGACTGTCCTTGTTATCTTTTAAAGCAAATTAAAAAAATAAAATGTCAATATTAGTAAAAAAAGCATTTCAGTTGGTATTTCAGTTTTCAAACATTATATGGGCACACCTCTTTAGAAATATAAATGTATATTAATTTTTAGAAAGTGTCATTAAAATTTCCTAGTTGCCAGACTGTACCTCAGATATTACTGATAAAACTCTGGAATGACATGCATTATTCTTCCATACATAAATAACATAATAGTGGCAATAATTTTAATGTTTTCATGCAAAAGAATTAAAAGGTTGTTAATTTTACAAGTGGGTCCATTTATAATTGACTTTCTGAAAAAATAATTTAAATGTAACAACTTTTATTTGCTCTATGCTTTGGAGTGGGACTATCCAATTAGCTCTCTACAATGATAAAAATGTTCTGAATCTATGATGTTCAATATGGTAGTCACTAGCTACATGTGGCTACTAAACACTTGAAATGTAACTGAAAACTGAATTTTTAATCTTTTTAAATTTAATTAATTTAAATGTAAACAGTCATATATAACTGATGCCTCTCATATTAGTATAGTTTTTAAAGAGTTTCTTTGATAAATTGGACAAAACTTTTCCAACTCTGATCAGAAAGGTAAAGAGATTAAYATGACTTTTCATTAAAATATTTTAACACAAAAAACTTTATGCTTGAAGATATTTAATAGTCAGCAAAAAAAAAGTAGATGAGATGGGTTTACATTTTATAATAATTATAGAAAATGTGAATCCCTCTAATTTGAGGTTAGCGGTACATTTTGGCTGGGTCTAAGAAAGGTGCTCAAGCAGAGAGGCTCCCAAGTACAGTAAAAGCAGCATAGAACTATTGAGGATAGATTTTGTTGTTTCTCTCAAATATTTATAAACTACAGTTGGCACTGATCACACTCAAAAAAAAAATTCAGTCATTCTGCTATAAGTTGGGAAAAGAAAACTGAAAAAGGATGTGGTATTATATTCTAAGATAATCAATAACTTTAGAGCTAGCAAGGCTCCTAAAAATTATGTAGCCCAACAGGCTAATTTTTTAGAGTAGGAAATTGAGGCTAAAAATGTTTAAATTCCAAGGTTAAACAATTAGGGATGGAGCCAGGACTGGAACCTCACTCCTACTCAGTGGATACTGTGATTTATTACTTTCCCCTCTTATACTGGTGTTTCTATAACAATCAAGCTTTATGTTTAATTTACCTATCCAAATTACAAATGGGTCAATATTATTGAATGATTCATTACCTTTATTATTTGAACATTTTGGTGTGGTGATTTCCTTCTCTTCACTTAAAGCTTCACTTTCATCTACTCCAAGAAATATGATCCTTTGTGGAACATAACAGTCACCTCCTAAGACAAAAACTTACTGTCAGAAGCAAAATGGCAAAAAGTGATACAAAGCTACCTTTCAACACAAGAATATCCTCCACAATATCCCTTTGTCTGCTTTTGTTTAAATACTTCAGTGATGCCATCCCTATTCTCTACATGTATCAAAAATGCTTACATGAATAYATAAGTATTAATGTGTAGGTATAACTGAATACCCAATATACAAACTTACATATAGAAAATTGCAATACAATGTACATATTCCACAAAATTAATTCCCCTTTAACTTATAACAATCTTTTACAGCTACTCAGAGTAAATACCCATAGTTGCTTTAAATATTACTTACATACAAAATTTTCAGATCCTTCACCACACAAGTTACCCTTTCTTAAAATCAAATATTTATTTCAAATAACCTTCTTTAAAAATAACACCCATATCTAGACTAACCTGTGGAAAAACCAGTGGAAGTAACAGAATAACAGCTGATATTTATGGAGCATTTTTCTATGTGTCAGACCCTCCACTGAGTACTTTCAATGACTCATCACATTTAATTATATTTCTATACTACTCTTAATAATTCAGTRTGGACTTACCTTAGCTATTTGATAGTGGAAACACATTACTGAATTTTTTTGAAACATTGAGGGCAAAAAAAATCACTTTTATCCCCTCACAAACTATATCATGTCAGGTCTTCCCCAATTTGAAGTCACCATTAAGGTCTTTCTTGAACCTAAATGTAAGACTTTCTGTTTATCACTGCTTGTTTGAAAGATTTGGCTCATTGTTCTAGCATATTAACTTCTAGCATCTGCAAGTTTTCCAAACATGTCTCCGTTAACCCAGTCACTCAATATATTCAATACATTTAAACATACAATCATTTATTATATAAGTATTTTCTGAATTCACACCATGTGCCAGACATTCTGCTTCAAAAAATTATCTGTGGTAATTGATTATACTTGGTTATTGGCCTCATGAAGCTTACACCAAAACAATGATAAAAATTTCAGAACAGAATCTGGTTTCTTCCATGAGCAAATGGCTTGCATAAGAAGAACTTTCCTGCCAAAAGCAATTACAAAATATCCAAAACAGATTGGAAAACAACCCACTGCACAGAACTGTAATGTCTGAGAGCAACAGAGGCACACATGTAAATTTCACATCTCCTTGACCCTGGTTTTCTTTTTCCATGAAGGTATTTCTAATTCATTATGCAGGAAAATACATTCCAAGAAGAAAGTGACTAACCAACTACTAAAGAGAAAGAGACCAAAGTTCAGGTGGCACAGTGGCTTCAACCTGGGGGGAAGTCTGACAAAAGTAAAAAGAGCAAAGAAGCACCCCTGAAAAACACACACTCCATGCTTTCCATACACAAAGTGGGACCCCAGAAAACTAGCAAATGAGCATCCAGGAGGCTAATGAACTGGTCAGAGATGTTGGCAACTGCATAGTACTTTGAAGGCAAAATTTGGAGTTCAAGCTTCCCTAGAGTAGAGAGATCTTGGCAAATATGGAGGCTCTCATTACAAACCCAGAAATGTAATGTTTTAGGAATAAAAGTTTTGCCCTCAGAATAAGGACCTTATCTCAAAAGAAAAAGTAAATAGTACATAATCTACTACACATCATTCCTGATAAAGCCTAAAACCAAACCATGRCATAATTGAGGTAGCCTGCTCATTCATAGTTTAGCTGCCTGCAGGAAAAAAAAAAAAAAAAAGTTTCCCTGTGGGAAAACCTCATTCATACTCTACATATCATTATTATCCACAATGTTCAACATGTAATTAAAATTAGAATGTACATTAAGAAACAGAACAATTGACCAAAAACCAGAAGATGAAGTATATCCTCCTAATAGGGAACAACAGAAAGTTAGAAAAAATAATGACTAATATCCAAAAATGACTGATGGGGAATTTAATCAGACAATTCACACAATTATCAAATAGAAAGTATCATTTATACACAATGGAGTATTACTCTGCATTAAAAAATGACAAAATCATAGAATTTGGTGGGAAATGGATGGCATTAGAGCAGATTATGCTAAGTGAAGCTAGCCAAGCCCTAAAAAACAAATGCCAAATGTTTTCTTTGATATAAGGAGAGTAACTAAGAACAGACTAGGGAAGAAGAGCACGAGAAGAAGACCAACATTAAACAAGGATGAGAGGTGGGAGGGAAAGGGAGAGAGAAGGGAAATTGCATGGAAATGGAAGGAGACCCTCAGGGTTATACAAAATTACATACAAGAGGAAGTGAGGGGAAAGGGAA